ATGGCTTTGTTTCCGTGGGGACAGTGAAACAAAGCCGTAAGCAAACATTTTACATATGAGAAATAAAGCCATACGATTCTATTTCAATACAAAAAGTAAAAGTTGTCTTTTTAGCGGCGGTCACATATGTATGTATGCGGTATACATATGTACATACATATGTATATGAGGTTTTCTTTTAAATCAGTAAGATACATTTATATATCTCTATTATACGCAAACGTCAAAGCTGTGAAGCTGTGCTTTTTTGTGCTCTGCTTAAATTTTTTGTTTTATAAAGCTGTTTACACTTAATAAAGTAAAAAATTAAAAAATTGTGAATAAACGTCTGTTGCACAATTTCAAGATAAGTAAAATATCAAAATTTCCTGTAAGTTTGATTAATTTAACTTGATATTCTTAATTGCATGTGCCGAGTATTTTGTTTCATATAATATATTGTTGTTGTACAATTGTTTTTGTTTATGCGCATGATTTTGCTCTTTTTGTAGTTTCTGATGTTTGATCTTTGTTACAGCTGTTTGCGTTGTGTTTATTAGGGTGTCAAAATATAGTATATTTAAAACTGTTCGCTACATAGCTTTCAAACTGATGTTTACCAGCTGATCGGTTCTCTGAGTGGTACATCGTTTTCAAAACTTTTTTGCCATATGGCTTTATTTCACTTCACATGGAGAAATAAGGCCATATGGCTTTATTTCCGTGGGGACAGTGAAACAAAGCCGTAAGCAAACATTTTACATATGACAAATAAAGCCATACGATTCTATTTCAATACAAAAAGTAAAAGTTGTCTTTTTAGCGGCGGTCACATATGTATGTATGCGGTATACATATGTACATACATATGTATATGAGGTTTTCTTTTAAATCAGTAAGATACATTTATATATCTCTATTATACGCAAACGTCAAAGCTGTGAAGCTGTGCTTTTTTGTGCTCTGCTTAAATTTTTTGTTTTATAAAGCTGTTTACACTTAATAAAGTAAAAAATTAAAAAATTGTGAATAAACGTCTGTTGCACAATTTCAAGATAAGTAAAATATCAAAATTTCCTGTAAGTTTGATTAATTTAACTTGATATTCTTAATTGCATGTGCCGAGTATTTTGTTTCATATAATATATTGTTGTTGTACAATTGTTTTTGTTTATGCGCATGATTTTGCTCTTTTTGTAGTTTCTGATGTTTGATCTTTGTTACAGCTGTTTGCGTTGTGTTTATTAGGGTGTCAAAATATAGTATATTTAAAACTGTTCGCTACATAGCTTTCAAACTGATGTTTACCAGCTGATCGGTTCTCTGAGTGGTACATCGTTTTCAAAACTTTTTTGCTTTTTTGCTTTTAAAACAAAAATAAATATCATTTTAAACATGTCGTGTATTTACACCAATTGCCACGTTAAAAGCTATGTGTCATGCTGGCTCTGCGATGGGATTGCCCATATAAAATCTGTTGTTTTGAGCGGTAGGGTGTTAGACGCTATTAATGAGGGAAAGAATCTTCGCTGGTCTTGTGGAAAATGTAGATCAACCGAAGTTGATTTATTTAAATTCTTTAGGCTGTCCAGCAATGGTTTTTCTGAGATCGGGAAGGATCTGTCGGTGCTTGTTGCGAAATTTAAGCATTATGAAAAAATGTTTAAGTCTTTCACATGTCTCGACAACCATCCGCGATCTGAGGATATCAGAGAAAATAAAGGAAGACGTGTTATTAGTCCATCTAAAAAGATAGTCACTGATTCAATACAGAAAAAGTCCTCCATCCCAGTCCTTGGAACTTATTAATCTTTCTTCTCCATGCCCTGGGGCATTGGAGCCTCCGCTATCTAATAATAAAATAATAAAAGTAATAACAACGTAGCTAAAATTTCTAATGATTTATTTTGGAATTTCCGTCGTCTTTGTCAGCTTGGTTGCAGACAAGTAAAATAAATCATCTTACCACCCTGTCGGAAAAATTAACCAACACCAAAATTTCTAATATAAATTCTGATTCAAAAAACTAACTCGTAAGTGTAATTTAAACGTTAGAGGTTTGAATACCAAATTAACTGTCTTATATTTAAAAGGTTTGGACTGTAATTTATAATATTTCCTTGACCGAATCATGGCGCAAACCTCATATTTTTCATTCCAAAATTCTTCCAAATGAATAACAAATATACAGGAGCGACCGCGAGAGCAGAATCGGCGGTGGTTCTTTTTGTGGTGCATTCATCGATACCGTCTGAGGAAGTTAGTGTTCCTGATATTGAATATACCGAATTTAAATGTATACGTGTACAGGTCGGAGAGGGTTATGTTTATTTAGCTCTTTACTACATCCCTCCTAATTTTGCCGTATCAGTATATATGTATATAGTATATAGCTAGTTTCTTTACTCTAGCCCGTAAATGCCACGGCTGTAAAAAATTGCAATCAAATTGGATTGCAATCGCATATTTTACGTAATATTGCAATCTGGTTTAATTGCAAGTAACATTGATTGCTTATATTTTGATTGCAATAACTTAAATTTGCAATCATTTAGAAGAAATTGATTGCAATAAGTTTTCGATTGCAATCATTAATTGTATAAAAATTGCTAATTGCAATCTGTCTAAATTACATTTATTTTGATGAATAACTGGAAGTACAATGGTGAGGCACAGAGGCCCTCAGTGGGTTAACGCATCGCATTAGCAGCTCAAAGTGAACCCCTCACGGCATTACACGTAGCAGTAGTTTGTTTTGATTGCCGTCTTTAATGTTCCGCTAATCGAGAGCATAATAATAATTATACAATGTGCGTGCATAAAAATTCGATTTTCTGCATGGCAAAGATGCAACTAAACAGCACCTCCATCGTGTTTTTCAATCATCCCTAGTAGTATAACGTATCGATAGCTGAGTGGAAGATCGACTTATCTCGGCAGCCAGTTCGAAAACGAAAAAAATTTTCAATAACGCTCTACTTCAGAATTTGATTTAAGAACGCCCTATCTCAGAATTTGGTTCAGAAACGCTCTATCTCAACTGCCGATGCAAAAATGCCCTATCTCAGCACATTTTCAATTGAGCGATTCACAACGGTATCGTAAGTGTCGTATTGTTGTATGTCGTAAACTTTAAAAGCTTAAATAAATGTTTAGAGAACTTGAAACGTCAACCAACTATTTTTTTAGCACTACAAAAATCATAATATGACTTGGATGGTACTTTGCGAACTTCCTTAATATATTTCTTAGGCGTTTAAAGTTTACGACATACAACGATACGACACTTACGACACCGTTGTGAATACCCCAAATGTATTTTCGTTTGAGATAGGTCGCTTTTGAACCGAATTCTGAGATAGGGCGTTTTCAACCGAATTCTGAGATAGGGGGTTTTTCAATAAAATTCTGAATTAGGGCGTTCTTCAATCAAATTCTAAAGTAAGGCGCACTTGAAAAGTTTTCTGAGATAGGGCGTCTTCGAACTGACTGCCCTATTGCAGGTCATCATGTTCCTGGGTCCCCCCAGTGGAATGGCCAGACGCTGTTCGCTGAGTGGCAAGCCCACTACAGGAAGACCCCGGATTTCCGGTATTTGCCGTGCAGGCCTCCCGTCCAGTGCTATGTTTGTGCGTAGCACTGGCCTTTGGACTTCTCGGGCCAGGGGGTGCCTTTGCTCTACTGCTAGTGGGTGCAGGTGCACCTGATATCTGCTTCCGCATGGGGCTACTTTTGGCTAGGCCGCTGTAGTACCGTGGCTTTGCTTTGTGCAGAGTTTGTGACTCCTTTCGGCCTTTGTTTGGGAGCGCCGGACTCCCATACTGGAGTTGAAGTTTTAAGGTGTCGTGTTGTTGATTTGTCCATATTTTGTCCCACGAGACGCGGAGAAAGGAAACGTCCGCCCGGGCAGAGATCCGCTGTACCCGGGTAAGGGTAGTTGGCTCCGAAGGTCGCCCGGTATCCGGAGCACTCCGTTCGCGACTGGGCTTGGTGAAGGGCCCCGAGCCAGGCTGATCCTCGACACGGGTCGTATGACACGTTGATCCGGCCCTTCAAAGAGAAGGGAGTGGAGAACTGGCAAGGAGTTTGGTCAGAAAGGGAATAATAGGTGTAGGGATTAAGGAGGGGTCACCCTTCGAATTAGCCGCCAGGGCGGCCAGGGGCAAGCCCCTTATACTAGGGGGGTGCTAATCGCAATGCAATTGAACACCTACGAGTCGAAGCTTTGGGATGTCGCGTGTGTTCAAGTCGATCACCCCCATCAAAGACACCCCAAAACGGTGCAACAACTACTCACTTGCAAGTTTTTACTAGTTTTGTGTTCAATAACTTTTTCTGCTGGTTTTCTCTTTTTTCCAATTTCACGTTCTATTTTGCTCGATTTCTTTATTAAAAAAGCATGAATAAATTATTGCATTTTTGAGATTGCAATTAAAATGTTTGACTGAATCAGTGATTTGATTGCAAAAAAAAAATTAAATTGATTGTAGTTTTTACAATCAGAAAAATGGAATAAATTTTGATTGTAATCCTATTAGTAGCGCAATCATTGATTGCCAAAAAAATTGATTGCAAATTTTTACAGCTCTGGTAAATGCAATGCTTACGGCATCCGATTCTATGATTGTTTTGGGCGACTTAAATCTGCCACACATTTAATGCAACATTTTTGACACCGATGTTGTACGAGTTTCATCTAGACATAGTTACAATGTATTTCTGGAGGAAATAGCTGAACTTTGCTTTAAAAAAATAAATATATGGCCAAATAAGTTTTGAAAGGTCTTGGATCTCGTTTACGTGGATGATGTTCCGAAGTCCTCTATTAATCGGTGTGATCCACTAGTTTTGCCAGAGGATGCATACCATCCCGCTCTTGATTTAAGTTACGAAATCATAAATGAAATACATAATAATAAGTCGTATAGGTCAAGTACTAGATATGTTTTTGCGAAAGCAAATTTCAGAAAAATTAACAAAGAACAATCAAAGATATCTTGGCCAATATATAGATGCGTAGCGTTGAGCACTTTAATGATACTGTTTTCAATTTGTTTCCAAAATGTGTGCCAAAATGTAACATTGTTTATGAAGAACCAATACAATTACCGTTCACTAAAGAGCTAAGTCACATTCTTTTAAACTGTATAAAAAAAACGGGCTTACACAGTGATTACGTAAAGTACTCAGTTTTGCGGCATAAGAAATGTTATAAATCATATTTATGTAAAATTTAGATGAATTTAATTAACAGTCCTAAATCATTTCCGTCCGCTCTGTTTTTCTGAGGGAACACCCTACTTGAAGAGGTCCACAAATGGCAATTGTATTTTATCATGAAAATTTTTCGACTTCCGGAATGCTCACCCACATCTGCTATTATGTTGGAAACAGGGCACCCTGAAATTGTGCATATGGAAACTGTGCATACGAAATAATGCATATGAAAAAACCCGAAATAATGCATACGAAAAAAACCGAAATAATGCATATATGCACAGTTTCGGTTGAAAACCGAAATAATGCATATGAAAAAA